AGGGCCGGAAAAGGGAGAAGAGGCACAAAGGTCAGGAGGTAAAACGGGTTTCTCTGCTCTGCCGGCCTTGAATACTCTGACCACCAGAGGCTGAAACCTCGACTCCCACACAGAAAAACAACAGCAGAGCACTAAGAAATCAGCTTCAGGGCTGACAACACAAGTCTGTTTTCAGTTTATATTTCTATCATTTAGTAATATTTATTCTATTATTTGTTTTGTTTGTTTTCTCTTTTTAAATTACTTATTTGTTTCTCTATTGCTCCTCCCACCTTTCTAAATAATTTGTTAATTCTCTTAATTATTTCATCTTTTGAATTACTGAGGATTTCATTTTCCATATTTTATATTGTTTTTATTTTAATGGGACTAAGTTGTTCGGTTCTTCCAAAAATGAAAACTTCAAAATAAAGTAAAGTAATATTTAATAATAATACTATTTAATAATAATGATAATAATACAGTATAAATACAGACTATAGATTATAGAATGAATACAGAATAAATTATATAAAGGTAATTTGCTTGAACACGGCCCATCTGACTGAGCTCCGGCTGAAGGGGGCGGGGCCTACCGTGGGGGTGGAGCCTGAGGAGGCGTGGGTGGCGCTCTGCCACTGAGGGGTGCTCCGCAGCGCCGTCACACTCTCCACCTTCACCGACCCCCCCAAAGTCTGCGTCCCGCCCCGAGACAGACAGTCCCTCTGCGGGGCCCCGCCCCCCCGGGCCAGGTAGTCCGTCCGGGACCCGGACTGCGCGTCCAGGCTGGCCGCCATGATCCGGGAGGCCCGGCCGGCGCCCGCCTTGGCGTCGGAGGGGATGACGTCATCGTCGTCGTCGATGGTGATGACCTCACAGTTTCCGGCCCCCCCCTGGGCGCTGGAGCTCCTCTTGATGGTAATGGCCTGCAAAACAGCTTCCTGTTAGCAGACGTCTGGGGTTTACAGGTCAGTTCGGGGTAGAGGGTCAGTTTTAAGGTTGTTTTTAGTACTTGCTGGATGTTTTTTAGGGTGCGTTTAATACCTGCTTTGTGTTTTTTAGTACCTGCTGGGTGTTTTTTAGGGTGTTGTTATTACCTGCCGGGTGTATTTTAGGGTGTGTTTAATACCTGCTTTGTGCTTTTTAGTACCTGCTGGGTGTTTTTAGGGTGTATTTACTACCTGCTGGGTGTTTTTAGGGTGTTTTTGGTATCTGCTGGGTGTTTTTAGGGTGTTTTTGGTACCTGCTGGGTGTTTTTAGGGTGTATTTACTACCTGCTGGGTGTTTTTAGGGTGTTTTTAGTACCTGCTGGGTGTATTTTTGGGTGTTTTTAGTACATACTGGGTGTTTTTAGGGTGTATTTACTACCTGCTGGGTGTTTTTAGGGTGTTTTTGGTACCTGCTGGGTTTTTTCAGGGTGTTTTAGTACCTGCTGGGTGCTGGTCTCGCTGCTGCTGCACTGCCTCCGGTGGCCCAGCCCGTTGCTGCTGCCGCCGGCGCCGTGCGGGCTGGGTTTGATGTTCTCTTTGGACCGGCCGGGGTCGACCAGCGCCCTGCTCGGCTCGCGCTCCTTTTCTCTGGAGCGAAACACTGTGGAGGTGGAGGAGGAGGAGGGAATGTCCAGGGTGTGCACAGAGTTAAAGCGCCGCTCCTTCTCCTCTCCCTTCGAGCCGGCCTCGCAGCGCTTGGTTTCCTCCACTATTTTCTCCAGAACGAGGAAGGTGTCCTCCGTCTGTCCCGTTGCCTTGACGACGCGCTCCACCACCTCTTGCTGGTACCCCATGGTCCTGGACAGAAAAGAGCTTCTGAGTTACCTCATCCTGCAGCAGCACAGCTGTCAGCTGCTGAGATCACATGACCAATTGAGCTCATATTCCCAGAAAAAGCAGAAAAGTTAGAAGGATTTGTCATTTCTAGAATTACTTTCTCGTATGTGGTTTCACAATAAATCTCTCCATTTTCTCTCCATGTGTCCATTTTCTGTCATAAAGCAGCTAAACTCCAAATCAACTTGGAACAGAAAAGGAGAATGTAATGAAAAGGTAGTCACTAAAAAGAGGAAAAATTTAAAAAAGGACTTCAGGAATTGATTTCAACTGGGTTATTCTGTTTTTATAGGCTGACATTTGGCACAATCGGGCTATAAAAATGTAGGATTCAGCACATAATCTTGTCCAAGTCGAAACGAAATCCAGGGGCTTATGTTTCCAATCGTCTCTGCATTTAATCAGATGTTCGTGTGTCACTTTATCACTGATGCTGCAGCATGAAATGAGTTTCTGCTTTTATCTGCTGCTCATCACAGCATCCCAGACACAAATCCATCAATCGCTTATTCCGAGTGGGGAGGTGGGAGCCTATCCCAGCTCTCATTGGGGGTAAAGACTCTTACAGGAAATTGAAAATGACCAGTTAACCTTAGATCAGGGCTGGGCCACTCCAGGCCTCTCTGGGCCTCTCTTCTCTGGGCTGCTGTCCTGCAGGTTTCAGAGGTTTCTCTGCTTCTCCACCTGATCCGGATCAAACCAATCTCCTCTAAAGAGGCTTCAGCTCTGAACAAGACTGCTGATGTTGTGATGATGTCAATCAGGTGTAGAAGCAAAAAAACCTCTAAAAAGACAACAGCCCAGAGAGACCCAGAGAGGACTAAAGAGACCAAAAGAGGACCTAAGTGGCCCAGAGAGGACTAAAGTGGCCCAGAGAGGCCTGGAGCTGCCCCCCCGCCTTATATGGATGCTTTGTGGGAGGAGGCAAACCTCCAGCCCCAGAGGCTGTTTGCAGCAGCTCGCTCTGGGCCGGACGCACTAGCCCCCACAGACGCTACCTGAAGAAGTTGACCAGGCAGCGCAGGTTGGTTTCGGGGCTGACGGCCTCCCCCTCCTCGGCCCCGCCCTCGTTGTATTCCAGCATGATGGGCCCGGCCACCGTGTTGGCCTTGGCGCAGGAGGAGAGGGTGCTGGAGGCCGAGGGGGTTTTGGACCGGCAGCCGCTGCCCCCCCGGCCCTCCCGGTCCCTGGGCCGCTCCCTGGGCCGCTCCGGGGACTCCTCCTTGCGCTCCAGGGAGTACTGTCTCTTTGTGTCCCGGGTCTCGCTGTCGGAGGAGCGGCGCTTGTGCGAGGGCCGGGCGCCGTTGGGCAGCGCGGCCTCGGGGCCCAGACCGACCCCCCCGCCGGGGGCTTTGCCGCCCACAGAGCCGGCCGCCGCCCCTCTCTCCTCGAAGCTGGCGTCCAGGATGCGGTTGGACAGCTCCGTCACCGGCGTGCTGCTCTGAGAGCGGTCCTGGTCCACCTCCACGCCGGCGGGCGCCGCCTGCTGCAAACCCCACAACACAGACCCCCCCACAGCCGTCACAGTCGGAAGGGGACAACAGGACATCCTGCAGAGGACGGGGCTCCCACTCTGGATGCACCATTCTAACGACTCAGAGTGGAAGCTGGAAAGTCCAGTTCAGGCAGCTGGTGGTTTCTAAAAGATGTCCAAGAACAATGTGGGAATTTTGGTACTCTGACAGGTTCAGAGGCCAAATGTCTTCTAGAAAAGGTGCCTGAACTGGACTTTGAAGCTGGATCTAGATGACTGAGGTTCTTCACAGATATGACTGGGAGTGGAACAAAACACTGAAAACGACCTTTAAGATGGACGGTCACTTCTTTTTAAACAAATCAACGTCCCAACACACATTCTTATTTTAACAGAGACTTTCTGCCTTTAAAGATGCTCACAGACGCCTTAAAAAGCTGTAGAGCAGAAATAAAAGACTCCAGTGTTCCCAGCAACACATAAGAGAGAGAAAATGAGGGAACCAACCAGAGAAGCTGTGTTTGTGCTGGTGGGGCTGTAGACCAGCCCCAGCAGCTCCTCCTTCAGGGCGCTGGGCAGCAGGAGGAGCTCCATAGTGTATTTATCATCTCTTTCCTCCACAAAGGATTTGAACGCTCGTTTCACTGCCGATTCTCGGTCACTGGGCAGACTTCTTTTCTCCTGGACAGGAAACATACGGACAGGTGTCACTGTGACCACGTACACTGCAACAATGCAAATGTTAATAAATAAATCACGTTAATAACTAAACTGCAGAATCCACACAGGGGTCGAATTTCAAAACGGCTCCACCTGCTTTCAAAGTGCTGTGAAAACGTTAAATAAGTGAAAGCAGCTTAAGTCTCCTCTGGACTCTGAGCTGCTTCCTCCTCCAGCCTGAAGCCTCTCCAGCAGCTACTTTCTTTAAGGAGTCTCCAGGAGCAGCTCTCCAGCTTCTGGAAGGACGTCCCAAAGCTCTGCTCTGGATGCTGCTGCTGCCTTCTGGGAAGGATCCATCCCTCCATCAGAGCTGGGCTTCAGTCCACTTCTGGTTCCTCTGGCAGAGCCACGCCTTTCCTCCCCGTTTCCTTCCTTCAGAGTGGCTTCTTACAGCCCCCCTTCATGGAGAACATTTCTGATGAGGCCACCAGGAGATGGTCAGCTGGAGGTCCAGATGCAGCTCTCAGCTCCTGTTCAGCTCTCTGTTGGATCTGCTCCTCTTTCTGAAGGACCTCACTTTCAGATCCTCTTCATCTGCTGGATTAGAGAGTTTTTCAGGCCCAGCTCTTCTTCTTCTGTCCTCCACTGGTCCAGTTTCCTCAGATGTTTTAAGGCCTCACTGCTCACCAGGCTGAGATCTGCCCAGTTTTCAGCCAGCAGCTCTTTGGGAATCCTCAGAAATCCTGTTTCCCGTCTGTCAGGCTGGCTTTTCTTTGGCCTTTTTCCCATCAGCCACAGAAATGGAACAAATGATGTGTCTCTGTGACAGGCTGCTGCTGACAAAGAGCCTAAAGATCCACTTTGAGCTGCTGCTCTGCTGATTGGACACGGCACTGGCTCAGCCCTTGAGTTAGGAGGCTTAATGATTCACAGCTCAGAGATAAACGGCTTCAAGAAAAACAAACAGAGCTTAAAAAATCCTAGAGAGATGTTGCTCAGCTACACTTTACTTTACCAAAGACACCCTGGTGGATTTCTGGCCTTCACATTAATGGAGAACCAGGCATTTGTCACACATTTCCTTCTTTGCGTTTCCCAGCTGGAAACAGGACGGCCGTCCTTACTTGGAAGAGCGCCACAAACTGCTGGACTCGGCTCTGGGCCATCACCACGGGCTCCGCCTGGCCCAGCAGCCACAGGCGGCCCGGCTCCGGCACCACCACCTCGGCGCTGGTGTCCCGGATCAGCCGGTCCAGGAAGAGGCCCCGGGCCCCCGCGAAGATGCAGTGCATGTCCACCGGGTAGCGCTCCTCCTCCTGCAGCTCGGGGTCGCACAGGCCTCGGATGTACTCCTGCAAAACAGGGCAGAGGTCACCCAGCGCCAGAGCTGCCGCCATTAGTCCACCAAGGTGAAATGTGGTCTACAGATATTGTTTGTCAGCCAGTTTATTTTTGGTCTGAGCAAACGGCCCATCTGAGTCCAGGTAATTCCCCTCCACACCACTAGTTTTGGTGGCTCCCTTTTCTTCTCCTGACACGAGCTGCTGTTACTGTTGGTTCTGGTTTTGAGCAGCGGCCAGTGAGTCTGAATCAAAGACGGAGATTTCAGCAAGAAGACCAAACGTATCCAAAGTACAGCAGAACCTCTACATAGGCATTTAACTGTTTCCAGGACCTACTTCGTATGTTAAAATATTTGTATGTTGGTTCAGGGGTATTCATTCCACAGCCCAAACACTCCACTGCAGATAATTACACATAGCAATAAAACAAATGCACCATATAAGAGAGACGTAAAAATAAATAAATTAGTAATAAATAATCAATAAAAAGGGCTTTTTATGGCAGGTAGAGACTGAGATAAAGGAAGAACCCTAACTTACTCAAACTTTCACGACCTGAAATTAGACATTAAAATTTTTTGACTAATAGAAATATGAGTGGACAGCTTCAGCTTGGTGGTTGGTGGCGGCAGCAGCTCGGGAGCGTCGCCACGCCGAAACCCGGCCGGCCGTCAGGGAATCTCCTGGCTGAGCACAGCTTCTGCTGACTCAGCAGCGCGCTGACACGCCCCAGAAGCGCGGAGCAGACCCGGCAGGCGCTCGGAGCAGTGACTCAGCCACGAGGCAGCGCCTTCCCAGAAGCCGGGGCCTGATTGGACGACCCGTCGGGCGGGCTGGGGGGCGGCCAATAGCCTCTACCGCTCAGCTAGTCAGCGTTTCTGAGAAGATGGGTCTTTGGCTATTGTGCAAAATCCATAAATCACAAAGCCCTGGAAAGACCAGGATGTCCTCATCAACCCTCAACAGGTTTTTTTTTAACCCCTGCTGACCATTTTAGTTTTTAATTCTGAAAGCTGCTACGTCCATGCGGCTCAGAAGACGAAAAGCAGCAGAAACAGGGAAATGCTCCCCAGGAGCCTCCATCCAGCCGGTGTTTATACTCCTAACCGCGCTGCCAAACTCCAGATAAAACACTTTTCTATTAACTAACCAACAGAGAATGAGATGAAGTTAATATCAGACCCCTAGTGAGTGACCTCCTTCCTAAAAAACCTCTGCTTCTTTTTTGTTCGACTTGAGTAGAGACAGACAACAAAGCCTCTGTGAGCTGTTTTAAAGCAGAAGATTCTGAAAAGTGTTTAATTCTGGATGCTTTTATGGTCCAATTTCTGATTTATCAGAAAACTCTGTGGATGATAAAGGCCCATGTATCCAGATCATAAATATGTCATCAATAATATTGGGAAATTGTTGTAAACTACAACTTCCCACCAAGAAAAAAGCTCTCATAGAACTGGTTGAGAAGGAAAGTTAATCAAAGCTAAATGTGGCTCCAGGTCTGCCCAAATCAGCTGGTTTCAGAAACCAGCTTCAGCTGTGAGGCCGCTTTTAGTTCATCAGTGGCCTAAAAACCACAGTTGAGAGAAGCCCCTGCTCTCATTCAGGATCCGGCCGAACGCCCGGCTTCTGATAGGGAAATAAAAGCCTGTGATGGGAACTGGAGCTGTGGTTTCCCCAAACTGGAAGCGGCGAAGCGACACGACGGGTCGAGCAGGAAGTGGCCTCCGGCTGCCGTTTCAGCCGCCGGGTGAAGTCAGTTCCCTCGCCGCCGGAGCTCGGAGCTCGACTCGTGACGCCCGATGCAGAAGTGTGACAGATGCTGCTCTTTTGGGAAGTCACGCAGAGGACAAACTGAAGCGCGTCCCGCTGAGACTGGAGTCGGGGGCTGTTTTGCATGAGCAGGCAGTGTAAAATCTCTAAACTCATTTCAGGCTCACGTGACTGAAACGGATGGTGCTGAGTCACACGAAGTGAGTCATTTTGAAACAAACCCCTTTTTTTTTGTCCAGGAGTGACAAACCAGACCACAAACTCACACCCGAAACCACCTGAGCATCACAGGAGGTGTTTTTTAGAATATATCTGCTAACGGGGAAATGGCCCAGATTCATATTAACCAATAAAGCTTTATTAAGCCCTAAAGAGAGAGGTGGGGCTCACTCTCTTGGGCAAAAATATCTCATTAGCTAAAAAGAGAAGAACCTGTGATGCCGACGATGTGTTCAGTGAGCTCTGACTCAGTACGGGGTCATTTAGATGCTTTAATTCCCCTCAGAGGAAAAATAATAACTGTGAGGTGGTTTAGACTCACCATCAGGAAGTTCCCAAACAGTAACATCTGGTTATACAAGCTGATTAAACAACGTTTTCATGTTCATGTGTAGACATGAACTCAGTGTGGTGCTTTTTCTAATATCTCTCAGGCCAATTTTCAAGCAAATTCAAGGCGTCGTTTTCTGTTTCTCCTCCAAGTTGGACACCGGAAACTTTGCTTAACAAACAAGGAGAGAGGAGATGGTGAGAGCCAGGATTTGGGAGCAGCTGCTGCGTTTACTGGCCAGCTGCTTGCTGCCGCTTCAAGGCCGAACGGCTGGAAAATGTGTCCAAACATGAGCTGATCTTAAACAGGGCTCACCCCACAAAGACGGAGGCAAAGAGGGATAAAGTTTTTCATTCTGCCTCAGAAAGCAAAAGGTAGAATACGTTTATCTTAAAGCAGTCTGAGAAAAGTGTTAATTAATCTGATTCATAGCAGCAGGAGTTAAACGGGACAGTTATTTCGTCTGTTCGTGTAAAACCCAGGATATAAAACAATAATTTAAACTGGAAAAATGGGACCTGTAGCTCCAAAAGTGCCATCAAATCAGTTTCTGATCACTGACAGATTATTGGAACTTATAAAGCAAACTGTGATTCTCCTAATAACCCTCTCAGTTCATTTCAGTCATCAGATACGTAGAAAAGGTTAATTATTATACATTCATCATGTTAAATCTGATTAAAATAATATTCCCGGTAGTTTCCACTTGCCATAAAATCTTTTGTCATTTAAACATAGTTTCAATAGTATGCTATAACAAATATTTAGCTTTTTATGTGATTAAAAAAATTTTTTTATTTGAGAATCAAAATACACGTCAACGTTATTTTGATTGAATTGTTGATTTTTTTTAAAGCAATGTGGTACGTTTCACTATAAACAGAACATTTCTGACGGTGATACACACAGTGTGATGGTTTCTGATCACAGGTTGCTCGGCTACAGTCAGCGGTCATAAATCTGGGTCACTATGTGGCCTAAAAGACTTCCCACTTCTGTGCGATTACGGTCCTTTACGAGCTACAGCTCTGAAATGTAACGACTCAATACGTCATAAAAAATGAGTCATAAAAAACGACTATAACTCCAGTTTGGACGTCAGCTGATGGGCTGGCTGTCTGTGGGGTGGAAATCCACACTGAATATACAGGACCAAAAACATCTTATTTTTCAGAACTGTTGCTTTTTTTTGTATTTATAAACTGTTGCTAGTTAAAAAAAAAAACACCCAAAAAAAGTGTTGCAGGGACAAATTAAAGCGTTGCTACCTTAAACAACCAGAAAGGAGTAAAAACTTCACGTTCATCTTTTTAGTTGACCCAAGTTTGAAGTTTTTAACCCCAGTTAAAGTCTTGAGTCCACTTCCACCAGGATAAGACACACTCAGTCTCATCTGCTGGTCGTGCTGTCGTGCACGGGGCTCTGACTGCCTCTGTCTCCTCCCCGAAACGTGCACATGTTCGTTAATCAGCTGTTTACCACCACATCAACCCTGACAGAGGCAACGCCTCCAACAACACGCAGCAACAAGCCAACAAAGTCCCTCATTTAAAGCAACACGCCATCGAATCTAATCTCACACGGAAACCACAAAGAGACTGAAATGACCTTAAACGCCACACGGTGCAGGCGATAAGCGACTACCACTGGCAACACTTCAGCCAACAATAAACTACAACAAATGTCATGACATTTGTGACTAAATACCAAAACGATGGGCGAAAACAGTGCTGTGATATTTAAGGAAGGCGCACCAGTATTTTCATAAAGAGTCAGTGGGGGCGATACTTTGTCTGACAAAAGCTTTGTTTGTGTTGCAGATATGGAGGCAGGGACCTACTCCACTTTATTTTCATCACTCTTTCTAAAACAGGAATATATTTAAATGACTTTATAGAGCAAACAAGAAATAGGCACCAAGATATCACTTTAAACCCTACAGCTGACAAAAACATCACCACAGATTGTTTCCAGTTCCAGAATCACATCAAAGATTTCATCTTTCATAAAAGTTTGAGTTTACGTTGAGATAGATTCACTCTTTATTTTATGGATGAAAATACAAAAAAGAGAGGGAAATTTGACAGTTTTCCCGTCAACATCTGGAGACTTTTCAAACAACAACAAAAAAAATAAACATGTTATTTTGACTATTCCAGAGTTGAAAATGTGATAAGTCTTTAATATTTCTGAAACTTCACAGCTTCTTTTGGCATTTGGAGCATTTACACCCCAACAAATTAGAAATATTAGCACCTCGGAGTGCTAAGATAATGTTTAATTTATCCGACAGAGAGTGGAAACTTCGAAAATGACAGCTGGGGAAGTTTTAAACTTCTCCTCCACCAACAGTGGAGCCAGTCAATTACCGGACCGTGAACGCACCTGCTCTTCCTCAGCCTCACGCGGGCGACCCGGTGGAGGCTTTTCAGCCCCCAGCGGACTAAATACGACCCCCACGGGAGAAAAGGTGCTGAGAAGTGGGCGTGGGGGCGCAGGGACGGGGCTCACCTTCGCCTTGGACACGTCGTCCCGGTTTCCTCTGAGCTGCAGCCAAATCTGCCGTAATGTTTTGCTGCCGTGCGGCTGACCCGTGTGGTCCAGAAGGCCGATTATGGTGAACGCCACTTTGAAAACCTGCTCCACGCGAGGCTTGGCGCATTTCAGCTCCTCTTCCTTGTCCTCCAGGACGGTGAACTCGTCCACGGTGGGGGCGTCCTGCGGCTGCCGGCCGGCCGGCGCAGGGAGCCTGCTGGCCGGCTGCTCCGGGTACGTTAGCTCGGTGACTCGTCGCATCCCGAGGAGGGGCCGCGTTGTTGACATTCCGCCTTTCGGTGTGCCTGTCGTCTCCGACGGCGACGTCTCAATATCCACGGCTGTCGGCGTCGCTGGCAGACTTTGGCGTGGACATTGTGCTCTCCGGGCGCGTGTTTCAGGCAGACGCGGCTGCGTTTTCGCCTCTCAGCGACATGACCACGGAGCCCGCTAGCTTAGTAACTCGGAAGCTCCGTGTGACGTATCCGGAAAGTCCCCGGCGGTGACGTCATCAAAACACGACAGTCCGATGCAGCTAGCACGGCGAGTCCAAAGATGGATATCAGTCCTACGGATGTACAGATCAAAACTAAACCGAAAGTAAACCAGAGCTTTTTTTTTTTTTTTACAACCCTCAGATCAGAGATTAGCAACATGTGAGATGTCACTGGGGTTTTAATAGCTCCACCCAAACACGTTTAAATCACGCACCTGGGAAGAGAAGACACGTGATCTGTGGATGTACGCAGGATCAGACAGACAGCAAGCAAACAGACTAACAGACAAACAAAACGAGACTTAAGCAGAAAGTGCGTGCGTCTCCACCCCCTCGTGGCTGAGAGGCGTTATTGCTTAAGACCCTGGATTAGTTTTACTTTCTCTGCTTAGACAGTACTGACCTGCAAGTCTCTTTGGCCAGTGTTTACTTCACAATAGACCAAAGTAAATATAGCTACACATGACAGTAAACAATTAGTCTTAGATTTGATGGCTGTTACATGTCTACACAAGATACATGTTTCCCATTAAGTGGCATCTACTTCACTTTCAGCAATGCTCTGGGACTCAGTTTTGGGGACATGAGGTCCAACTCTGATTTAGGATTATAGCTAATCCACAGTCCTGGCTCTTCTTTGTAGTATTTAAGGTCTCCATATGCGATAAATGTTTAGCATTTTATGTAAGGTCTGATGACAGATAGTCGTTGTCTTCCTGAGAATGGGAGCATGTGTTGCTCCAAAGTTTTTTATGAGCTTTTCAGTGGTGATTTTTCCCTCCAGATTAAATGTTCACAGATGGTGTTTCTGATCCAATATTAATTTCCAGGACAGCTATGTGAGTTCTGAGTGAAAATAACTCAAAAGTCTGGTTGCTGACCTGTTGCGCATCACATTTATCTCCAGCTGTTGTCTTCATTGTGCTGTTGCCCCTGAATTAATGTTCTTTTAATGTACTGCTGCCATCACAATCAAAATGTCCTCCTTCTCTTCATGAAATGGTCATATTCATTACATCTGTCTGCTTTTCAAATGGAGAAATCACAACAAATTCTTTTAAAAAATAGTTTTTAAATAACATTTTAGCTTCCTGCCTCTTTTAGAATTGGGATTTGACATTATTTACTCATCCATTTTTCTTTAAAAACTAATCTAAATACTTTTTGGTCCCCCTCAAAATCTCCAGAAACACTCTTAACAACACTTGTATCACTATCCCTCCTCATTGGAGGGGTAATCTTGCATGGCTGAGATGTGGTCGGTTATTTTCAGTTTGATCTCATCACAGACTCATTGGGGCTGGAACTGACGTGCTGTGTGTTAAACTGGCTCATTTTTGTTAAGATGTGTAGAACTCCACAGGGACGCTGGAAGCAGAGGAAGTTGCTCTTTACTGGAATTTTATTGGAGTTTTCTGTTAAGCGCGAGTTGAGTTTTGACCACCGAGACTCTTTAGAGGCTGATTGTCTCACTTTATTGACCACAGTCAAGAGCAAACGCTCTCCTCTGATCTCCTCATTGCAGCTCCTCTGTGGGCTAATAAAGATAAAACCGAGAACATAAACCCAGTGAACACACACACATATAAACACACTGTGGGCGACACAGTGGGGACAAAAGGAGGAACGGCAGAGGCAGTTGATGCTCTGAAGAAAGCATAGCCTTAAGCCACAAATGATGAGATCCATGAGTTACACAGAGAAACATCAACCCAGCAGAAACTTCCAGCTGAGAAGTGAGAAATCAATACATGTCTAATCAATTTGTTCATTTCTCTCTGGGGATTTTCCAGAAATGGATCTATTCTGAAAGTTCTTTTCTGGTTCATGGGAGTCTTCCCTCCTTTACAGTGTCAGAGAAGGTCCCCTCATACTTTCACTCACAGTTTTGTCTTGAACAAACCCCCCCCTTGCTTCAGAACAGCTCGGTACGTCCTCTGAACCACTTGTATGATGCTGCTGGCTGCTCTCACTTCATGACGTTTTCCCTTTTAATCCATTTCTATTTCTTACTTCCTTAGATGGACTCAGACTCTCGCTTAGAATTAGAATTTCCACAGAAGATAAACTTGGTAAAGCGGAATAAAGGAGGAACAAGTCTGTTTTTTTCCTGTTTTCGTGCAGGAGTTGGCTGATTTTGAACTTTTACTATCAAAAGAGTGAAACTATCAAGCAGAAGCTACTGACTATCAGCTCCTGTAAAAAAGATCCACTCAGCAGCATTCACATTATTCACTATTAGATATCTGTCATTTACAAATAATATTAAGTTCTGAGTTGAAGCTAGATGTACCTGTACGTCTGTGTGACATTCATAGTGAGAGAACAGTGTGGTGAGAAGCTTTGTGAGTGAGATGTTCGATAAATATGAGAAAAGGAGGAAGCAACTGGAAACCTATGTGTTTATTATCCATCCATTCATTTTCTGTACTGCTTGTGCTGCTGTTTGTTCATCACTGGGTCACAAAGAAATCGCAACCTGCAGCCATAAAGGAACCAAACATGCAGGTTTTCAGACTGTGGGAGGAAGTTTTGTTCTTATTCATTTGTATTTATCAAAATACATTTACCACTTATTAATACTGAAGCCCGCAGGGAGAGGATAACTCAGAGGACCTACCAGGACAGCCCGCAGAAGAGAGACTGGACAGGAAACATCTTCAGTCTCTGTGGGGAAACGTCACCTCGTTCGTTCTGGGACAGCCAATGGATCCGTTTTAATAGATGTGAACTGAACTTTGATTTTTTTGTGAATTGTGAACCTAAAAATGAGTCATTTGTGCCACCGAGGGTCCATCAGAACTTCCTGGACTTCTTATTGACCACATGTCAGTGGGCTCAACCCTTCAGGTCTGTTTCAACTCTTAGAAAAAAGGAGGAGAAATATTCCTTTGCATTTTTTTATTATCCCTGCAGCAACAACCAGAATCAATGCTGGATGGGGTGTTTTAGGGCTGGTTTAGTGCTCTGCCAAGGATGTTAAAGGGTTAAGGAGCCCGTCATCTCAAACATTTGGATCCATTTGCCAACCGTTTTACAGCATTCTACAATCAGCATCGCTTTAATCAATAATGACTGATGTTTATGACATATTTTGCAGGTAAATATTGGTTCCTGTGAGCTGCCACCACACCAGTAAACTGATGATAAACTGGAGCCTTCATCCTGAAAAAAACCCGATCCGATGTTGACTTTGATACTTATTTGGACTGAAGGGTTTATTTCCTGATCAAAACTGAGGGCTAAAGATGTTTTTATCTCATTACTTCCATTTTTATAGTCCTTCTACTTAGAAAGCGGCACGATAAATAATACATTTCTTTTCAATAAATAAAAAATGGACCTGAGGGATGCTTTTAGATCTAGACATCTCCAGACAGCCAGAGTGGCTGAGCAACCATTTATAGTTGAGGATATTTCAGGTGATGCTTTAAGCAAAAAAAACAAACAAAATTTAAATAAAACATGAACATTTAAGTGTGTCCACACGATTCTAGTTGATGTAATAAGTATATTTGCTCAGTTTTCCATCAGTGGAGCACAGGTCACCGATTGGTTGGGGGTGTTTTTTAAAGCCTGTTTTTTTTTCAGAGGCCACTAGATGTCGCTGTAAGCCTCCTAATGGCTCTGCTCCTCTCTCCCTGCTCCCAAATGACAGGGAGTAATATCGACTCAGGGATGCTTCAAATCAATATTTTTCATTATTTGAGGTCCACACTCACAAAGCAAAAGGAATATTGTCTTTATTAAAGTTCACGGTCTTACATTATGAGCGGAGACAGTGACAAACAGCCAGAGGAGCCGACACACCAAACCCCTCTGCAGCCTGAAAACAGACAGAAACTGCAAAAAAAGGCCGTTTTTTATAGAGACGGTCCTCAGATTTGGAGGGTGGGACATGTCTTTTGCTGCAGCGGGGTTTGGGGGAAAATCTGCACCGCCTTTGGCCGGCCTGTGTGAACAGCTGGGACGGCCACCTGTGAGGTGGAAGCAGCCCTGACCTCCCTTTCAGCTCCGTGTGACTCGGACGGAGGGGGAAAAGGAGGCAGACCGAGGCAGAAAAGGGCCCTTCTGATGCGTGAAACGGCGAAAAAGCAGCTGAATTTTGCAGTGAGACTGTGAATATTTGGGGGAAGACGGAGCCGATTGCCTGTAAGGCTGAATTAATGCCCAGATCCTTAATTACTTAAATGAAGCTGCACTTCAAAATGAATCAAAAAGCAACTAACCCAGGAGAGGAACATTAAAGAGAGCTGGGGGGTCTGTGAATGTAGAGAATCAGAGCAGCCTCACCAGTGGTCTCCCCCCCCCCCCCCTACTGGGTCTTTGTGGAACCAGGAAAGTTTTCTAACAGAGTGAAATAATCTGCAGATATCTAAGCAGCTGTCAAATTCCCCAAATTCCCCGAAGGCACCCTTAATCATCTCCTTTGAAAGCATTTTTAAATGAAAAATACTTTAAAAACATCGAACTGTTCTTTATCAAAGAAAGCAAAAATAACTCTTCCCACCATTATCCATTCAGCCGCGGCATTTGGAGCAAAATATGTGAAATATTTTCATCACATTGCACAAACTGTGATTCCGGTAAACAAACAGGAGGAGGAGGATGAATGTGGGCGACCTTTTTCCACGTCTGTGTCTTCTCTGAACTGCCGACCCTCCCAGTCGCATCACCTTTAATCCCCGACGGTGTCTGAATGGGTTTTTCTTTTTTCTCTCCGTCTTTACCACGACTCCTGTCCAGGAAAAGAGCCGAGGAGGAAACACCGCCAGCTGTTCTCCTCTACTGCCCCCCCACCTGCAGCCTGCTCATGATCTCCCAGCATCGTCTGGCTGTAATCATTCTGACTAAGTTATGAAGCTCTCCCAGTTCCCTCCGCCCCTGAACTGGAAGGAGCAGGTACAGGAAATTGATGGATGGATGTAAATCCTGGAAAAGTTCATCATGCGAGAGCAGCGGGAGGATTACGACATTTCTCATTTGACTTCACAAGCATCTGTGAATAAATGGTGTGAAAAAGAATGAAGGACTTCCTTTATTGCACCTAACAGGGAAATTCAGCACCGTGTTCTGGTGCAATATTGAATTTCCACTTGCTCTGACTTGGCTTAATGTTTGCAGAGGATCTAGATTCTGACTTTGGCGTCGAGATTTTATTCACACACGATTGAAGCAGCTTCCAAATGCCAGTTCGGTCCATTTCTACACGTCGTTGTTCCTGATTAAGCTGAAGAACTGCAGCTAATCACGGTGTTTTGGGAGTAGCTTCGGTTCTATTTTATTGGACATCAGCAGAGGGGCTCCAATTAGTAGATTTTGCACTTAGCAGCGGAATTTAATCTGCAGCAGATCTGACCTTTAGG